CCCTCTGAGCATTTAAGTGCGGGCGATTATTTCGGTTGGCCTTTTCTGCTTTATTGTGGACAGTGTGGGGCTACAAATTGAGTTTTCCAATGCATAAACCGAAATTGAACATCTCTAATCCCTTTAAAGTGACAGAAGCACCATGAAATTGGCAAGCAAGTGCGGCTCTTACTTATTCCACATCATTTGAGTATGGGGATAATTGAATTGTTCTCAGTCCGACATGAGGAATTTCATACAGCACTGGAATGCATGCCATCGATTATGCAAATTCGCTGTTGGTTCTTTTGTTGTTGTTTTTGAGTTTATACGCATTTTTTACTTCAATTTTATTTTACTAGAAAGGGTAATAAAAAATAGAGTATTTCACTTGATACACTTTCGAATTGATTTTCTTACATGATGTCGTCTAATTTGCTTTTTCTTTAGACTATTTGTGTCGAAATTATTTGTTTCGATTTTCAAATATGCATAAGTGCGTATGTACACAAATACAATACCATAGATAATGAAAGCAGTTTTGACCTTTCAATATAATTCACCGATATTAAGTAGATCATAAATCGGTCGCTTGCTGGAAGAATGTCATAATGCAAATTTGGCTTCAGAGAAGCGTAAATTCGGCATTACCACAATTCTCGCAATATCATTATTTTCGACAATTGCTCTTTACCCAAAGTACTAAACAAATTAGAGTTTGACGACGGCTTTATTGTTTATTAAAGTTTACACCTTTATTTATAAATATTTTTTAGTAATTTTTTACTAGCAGACCCGGCAGAAGTTGTTCTGTCTTACTGCACAACACAAAGGCCGCAATAGCTTTAATGAAGATTTTATTAGAAATGGAGTCATTCAGACTTTTAACCATTACGCCCGATTGTCGATACATAGCCGATATTTTTGTTAGAATACATATTAAACGCATTAATATTTTTAAGATATGTGACAACTCTCTCCGAAAATACGGATTACAACTTTTTCAAAAACCTTTTGTTTCATACATCTATTATAAACTCCGTAATATCGGCACGCAGGAGTGATGCAGGTATGAAGATGAGTGCCATATTGCTGCTGCAAAGAAACACGCAGCATACAAAGCCACCCTGCAGGCAGTGTTGCCAGAAAAAAAATGTATTAAACATCTTCCAAGTGATGATAAAATCTTCAAAAAACATAAAAAAGTTAATAAAAATGGAAAAAATATTTTTTTCTGTAGAAGATTATTTGTTTGAATTTTTTTATTTAATGGAGATTTTATAACGAACTCATTTTATTACAAAAAAAAATTTTAAATAATCCTTTGTTTAAAGAATACCACTTAAGTTGGTGGTTTCCAGCTTATTACGAATTTTTGTTTCTTTCAAATTTATTTGAGAAAAACTGTCTCCCGATCTATGCATTTATCCTCGCTCTTGGATGATGATGATTTTTCAATAAATTTAATTACAGAAATTTTAATTTGTTAATTTAAATTTTTAAACCAAAATTATTTAACTTTTTATTTTAACAAATATCGATCCATAATTTTTCTCTTGTGGAAATTCATAACGCCGAGTTTGAGCTGCATAAATCTGAATTTGAGCGCGAATTTTGAAAGACAAAATCAAGTCAAAAACATATTCGTAAAAATCAATAATCAATCGCATGTGCAGCAGTAAATTGATGACAAAAACGAAATATTTGTTGCCAACTAACCCAAAAATATAAATCTTCAAGTGCCGCCAGATACCTTCACTATGAAGAATTTTTGTATAGAGTTTTATTTTGTGTAATTCTCTTCGTATGAAAACTTTTCTGATTATTTATAAAAAATATCTTCATTTTAAAGATGAATCTCACTTCTGGCAACACTGCCTGCAGCCAATAAATACGTGAGCGACAGTTGAACGGTACCGTAAGATGAAAAGGGAGGAGATACGTATATTTAAAAGGAAGAAACGAGGCAGAAAGACGAAACTGCGTACAAGGCCCTGTCAACGATACAGTGTGAAAGACTCAAGCCCTTCACGGACCAACTGATTGGACCTTATCAGTATGGATTTAGACCTGGTAAGTCCACCATTGACCAGATTTTCACAGCACGGCTTTGGTGATTTTAAAGCTGCCCTTGAAAGCACTAAGAGAAGCTGCCTGTAATACGGCTATATAGAGTGGCATTGAGCACAAATTGGGAAGGACCAAACGACGTCTAAGACAAGGCAACTCACTCTCGTGGGACTTTTTCAATCCGATGCTGGACAACATTATATTTAAGAGCTGCCAATCTGAAATGCAGCGGCACCATATACTTATGTACAGCCAAATAACTATTTTGCTGGCGGATGATATTGACATCCACCCACGAACATAATGAAATGACCAAGTGCAGAAGGACCTGTCCGCATTTGGGTTGAACAACTGGCGCAAATCCGCAACTGGAGATGCTTTTTAGTCTCGGCCCAAAGCGAAAAACGGTTGTAGTGCCAAATAAGAAGAAGAATAATCTGCTCAACCTACACGCATACGGCAACCCTGTCCAATGATAGGTGTAATCGGAGCAGATTGTTGAGTGTTGAAGACCTCAGGTGTTCGTCGGAAGGGCAAATTGGGTTGCTGTGTATGCCTATCACTGTCAGGTAACCAGTCAACAGTCACACAGCTTGTCTGCAGTCCCATCTATTCAATGAAAGCTTTAAAATTGAGGGCAACATTAGTTTCTGGGCGAAATTTCCAGCCAGTTTTTGACGGTGGCCTCGACGGCCAAAAGTGATAGAGCTATAACTGATTGCAAACCCTTCTCTATGCGAGTGATCAAATGTCTGATTACCAGATACTCCCGAGTGATCTGGCACCTAGAGTAAAAAAAGTTCGTGGTGTTTTCCAATATAATTTAGTCGAGACTGGCATTACCAACTACTTACTAGTTAGTAAGCTGGCCAATGCCTTGAGTGCGACTTGGATGACTCTACTCTGTATCACCCCAGCATTTATTTTTTTAAGCCTACAGCTGGTCTGAATGGCCTCGGTAGGTTTAGCAGTGCATCCATAGCAACCCAAGGTGTTGTAGGGAGAGCTCCCGAACAGCATTCTGCGATTCCTCTAGGTGACAAACGGCAAGCTTTACGAAAATGTACATGTATATAAAGCTGTTAAGGTTTTGGAGGTATTTTATTAAAAGTGAGACTTCTGGAAAAGTTTACTATCTAGGATTACACTTAAATAATTTACTTCAGACGAAATTTTAATAACTTGTCCTATGGGGCAGGATTGAAAAGGCTACTCAACTTTCTTCCTTCTAGTGAAGAGCACAACACAACTGACAGAGGAGGGCCTGTGATGAGGCAAGCCACATCCTCTGCTCTGGGCGTAGATATTAGAGCCGTTAAGCTTGACCGGCAGGGAATGAGCTAGCAAGCACCAGAGCAAGGGAGAAAGCACACCGTATTAAGGATAGTCACAATGCACTCCGCACTTGACATGTTTACCCCCCTCTGCGTGTATCCTAATGACCCTCTGAGCGAGGATTGATCGAATCTAAATTACCAGTACAGAATCTACTCCGCGCCTTGCTATTGAAGGTGGCGTTCTCAAAAGTACACACAAATGCCCAAATCGTATTCTTTCTTAGTGCTGTCATTGCCAGATTTTGCAGAGCCGTCCCACAAAACTTCCTAGCCTGATAGGTATGTTTGTTGATGCATAGGCAGAGGGTGTAATATAAGCGCCTCCTGCGAATGCGCAACTCACCCAATCTCTCTACACATTTCAGTATGAAGGGCATCATGCTAATGGATCTGAAGTTTTTAGGAATAGCAAAACCGTATCTACCAACCTTAAGTGATAAAGACGACATCACCTAGTCTCCATGAATGTGGTATGTAAGCAAGTGCAAGCGACGCAGCAAAAATATTTTTCAAGATCGCTACCAAAAGCTCAGCAGTGCGATAGTTAGGATACCATCCGGAACAGACGATTTGAAACTGGCAAAATATTTAATAGCTTATCTTACTCACAATGAACAACTGTGTCTCCCAGTGAAAGCATGGAATATTCCATACGCGCCCTCTATTATTTTATTGAAACGGTGGTTCGGACTTTCTCTTGAATGTCAAACCATCACCTGATTTCCAGGAAGATGAGTATTCAGAAGAACTGAAAGTCTCACTCCTTATCTCGGCCAAGGAACCATCAGTCCTCTTGAGTGAACCCAGCTGAGCGGTTTAGTCTTTTTTAAGGACTTTTACCAGCCTAGCTTTTTTACTGAAGTTCCATGCAATCCAACGCACAAAGGCCGGTAGATCTTTCTCAGAATCCTTCTCACGGACACTACAAAGGCCACTTCTTTGCGATGTAGTATTTCCCATGCTTCTGTGCCTCAGTCAAAGTAGCACTTGTTGGCAAGCCTGATGGTGTTAATGCTCATTTCCAAATAAACGAAGTCGTCTACTGTTTCGAAGTTATAGCATGCGCTGACCGTTTTTTTGATAACAGGAGATACTTCGTTTAGTCCTCATGCACCACCAGACCCATCAATCTAAATTCGAGAAGGTGGAACAGATGTTGCTATCGCTGATGTAATGGTTCTGCATCTCTTATTATCTTCTCTAACAGCATATTAAATAAATAAAACGCTGGGAATCGCCCTGTCTGATACCTTGTTTGGTATCAAACGGCTCAGACAGATTCTTCCAAATTCAGACGGAGCTATTTCTTAGCGTCCTTTACACAGCCGTATCAGTGCCGACAATTTATGTAAGACAAATATCAGTGATAGATTTAGGCTTTACTCCATTACCAATGGCAAACTTTATTTCCGAAGCCGAAATATAAAAGGGACTTTTCAGATTTCTTTATTGAACAGGATTAGGTAGAAAATTAGCTCTTCAGGGTTCCACGTGCAGAATTAACTACAAACCCATTGAATCAATTAATTTTTGAGTGTCCCAACTACAAGGCTACCAGTACTAAATAATCTTGATTTGTTCAAAAAAGAGGCCTTAAGACCCTATACTCGTACCATTAATTGCTACAAGTAACGTAACATTTTCCAGCAGAGAGCGGGAAAAGAAAATTAGCTTTAGTTTTTAAGAATGTATGTATATATATTTAGATAGCGCCTCTCGGCGTCGACGGTGATATCATTACCATCATCGGTCAAACAACTCTTTAGACGCGAGTGACCGTGCGGTTTTCATGGCGTACAACTATATCAACGATGCTCATATTCGGTGTAAGGAAATTTTCGAGGCGATCAGCTCCCGAACCAGACAGACGATCGAATGGAAATCCCATGGCCCTGCGATCAGGATAAAGTCGATCACGCACGCCACAATAAGAGGCGGCAGCGCTACAACTTCCGACCAGCTCCTGTTCAACCTAAGCGAAAATTATAAGCAAGGTAAAAACTTTACACATTTAATATTTGCAAATAAAGGTTTCCCACTCTGTCCTGATCGTAGTTGGACACCATAACAAACAGCTCACAAGTAAAACCCTCGGGTAGACCTTTCGGTATCAGCATGTGCTCTGGCCAACCGCAACCGCAAAAATTGAATTCCAATTCCTCATCAGTTGCAGTCGCCGGACGATCTGTATCCAGATCGCGGAACGTGCGGTCAAAGGGAATGGTAAGACTTGACTCAGTGGAGCGACGACGAATAGTATTTTCACCAGGATTCACTGCATATGGGAATTATTTTTCAAAAAGATTTTTCTTAAAAATATACAAATATACATACATGCCACGACAAATTTATCCAGTTCGATCATCAATAAGCGTTGATCCTTGAAGAGCATATCTAGACCTGCCTCATCCTTTTTGGGTCCAAGAAATATACGCACCATACCAAAACGTTTGACACCGCCGTCATTTCTCACGTTGATAGTATATGTGAAAGGAATATGTTGTAGATGGGTAAAGCGGGCAAATACATTGCCGCGGGGCGTGAAATCCATACCACGGGAAAGATCTACATCGGATTGCTGCCAGAAGGTTTGTAGAACATTTGGGTTACCACCTTCAGTGGTTACTTGAATACCTTCTACATAAATGTCATCGTATGTTAGTTGCGAAGGAGTGTATGGCTGTAAACGAGTCTTATGGTCTTGAAAAATATCATCGATGTGAGCGTGCCACTTATAGAAGGCTGGATCGCGCATTGCCGTGGCTAAATCGCCCATAACTCCAAATGACTCTAAGTGTCGATGATTGGGGTCGTGAGCATAAGCGATAAAAACATGACCCATGTTGTGGAGATCGCCGTATAGCTCCCGATTAGGTGATATTATCGACGACTCAATTATATTACCCAGCACGTCAATATTAAGTGGTACATGGTTACCGCCTTCCTGAAATAAAAGATATTCAATTGGAAATGGGATTGAAAATCAAAATTTAACTCATTACATCCACTGCGTAGCCTTGCGAGATAGCTTCATAAATTCGATCTCTCCACCGTTCCAAGTCACTAATGTCTAAATTAATTTGGTCTTGTTCGCGTCTCACATCGGACATCTGAGTGTAGTCAAAACGTGGAGGCAACCCGCGACTAGCTACTAATGAATCCATTTTAGGGAAGTAACCTTCCTTAATATATTCACGTAAATTATTAAAGGGGTGGGCTCGAGCCAAATTGTTGCAGAACCGCTCCACATTGTACCGCGCTATCATTTGCTGGTGCATGTAGTAGAAGAGCTCACCGCGACGATCCTTATCCACAATGCTACGATCACTCGCCTCGAATGGATACACCAAATGCCAGTGCCAATGGTGCAAGTTAACGCCTAAATCCTCCCGAAAGTACCACAAACGGTGCTCAGGTTCCAGATCGGAGGCAGTGTAGTCCTGTGGTATTGTGATCGGCATTCGCGAACCTTCGGGTACAATAGTGGACTCTTCGCGCAACTGCCGAAACACCTGCCCGTCAACAAATTTGTCGGGAAAACTTTGAACGAATGAAGGTAAATCCATCACTTTGGTGTCCTTACGATGAAGTAACGCCACACTGAGAGCATAATTAAAAAGATACGGATTGAGTCGATCACGCGCATACACAGCTACACTCTGCAAGTCGTCGATTGTATGCATACCCATGAATATATCAACCAAGCGACCAGCCATGCGCCGATGAGCTGGAATACAAAGCGAAAATTGGCTTTGTCTCGGCAATTCCATAGGTAATCGTAGATCGGGTATGGAAATTTCTCGAACAGGAATTCGTTTCTCGGCACTGTCGCCAAAGCGACTCTGCACTTCTTTTCCAATAATTTTGTATCGATCGGTAAAGAATTTTTCCGGCAGATCAAAAACAGTTTTTCTACCTTTCCCCATGAAAACTGGCTCATTTGGACGATCAAAGAGCAATAGTAAATTCTTTTTGTCCGCCATGGTTCGGAAATTAAATTAATTGCGTTTGTAGAGTGCAAAACGTGCTATCGGTACGAACTAACTAGACTCCCAGCCAAAACTGCGGAATTGTAAAGAATATGAGTGATTTTATATGCAAATTTTAACATTCAGATAATTTTTTTTGGATATGCAAAAATTATTGTGGTTTTAAAGTCGTCCGTTACCTTCCAATGGCATTGCAAGTTCCGAAATTAATGCATTTTGTATGGGTTGCTTTTATCATATCAGTTAGTTGTGGTTTTGAACTATATTTCAACTATGTATCTCCAACAATGACATAATAATTGTTCCTCCACAGCGTTTTTTTTTTTAATTTTTGACTGAGTCTTATGTATTATTTCGTGTGGTTGAAAATATTTTATGAAATTATCGCAACTCCTTGCTTATGCGGAGAAGAAAACGTCGTGTAGAGCACAACTTACTTAGAAGAGGAGAATAAGTGCGGAAATGTGTTATGGGCTTGCGATCGATTCATTAAATTAAAAGTACAGACAGCGTCAAATGTTAGTGTTCACCTCGTTCTAATATAGTTATATTCACAATTATTTTAACGAAAAATTTTGTTCCTTAATTATTTATGAAAATATATTTCATTATATTACATAGACCATATAAGTCAAAGTTTCACACTTTATATAAAATTCACAAAATTAAAAAAATTGTCATCAAAATTTAATTTCTTCTCGGAATTTCTAGAAAATTCTCGGGTATGCAGTTTTTTAGCTCGTTTTAGTAAATAAATTTTTAGATTTTTTTGTGGAGGAGTTGCGCTTTTTTTCAATTAAAAATAAACTGTAATCATGCGTTACTAAAATTGAACGGGCTACAAAACTGCATACCCGAATATTTTTTAGAAATTCTGCATAAAAACGTTCAAATTTTGATGAAAATTTTTGGAATTTTTATGAACTTTATATGTATAAAGTATAAATCTTTGATTTATATGGTAATATACCATATTTTCATAAATAAATAAATGACCTGAAGCCCAATAAAAATTGTTGAATATAATTGTTATAAGGCCATAAAATAACAAAAAAAAAAAAAATAAATAATTTGTGAAAAAAATTTCATTAAAATAATTGTGATTAATAGAAAAAGGTGTACACTAACATTTGACACTGACTGTATGTGTGATTTACACAAACATTCTTTTAAAACATTTATATATACAAGAACTCAACTGATCAGGCTTTATTTTTTTATTAAATATACCTTGAACACATTGGGCCGTATGCATAAAAACTAAGCAATTGCTTTTTCTTAAAATTGCATACTTTTCAATTAAATTTTTTTGAACATATCTAGTAAAAGTTCTGAAATTTTAAGAAAAAGCATTTGTTTAAGTTTTATGCATACGGTCCATTGTGTTTCATATGAAGTCAAGAGCAAACTTGACAGCATTTTTATGTTAGTAAGTGTACTAGGTACCTTTACAGATAGTTTTCTTCGAATTCACAATAGTTGAGTTGGGTTAGAATTTTTATAGCTCCCTTGAGCGCTGTCGTTTAGCCCGTGGTCAGTAGGATTTAGGCACCTGGCATTCCAAGGCTCTCGACCAACGTTCACTGAGCCACAAATAGCCAATGAGGCCCACCTCATTTCCAGCCACGGTAACAGTTTCTCAAGAGGGGCATATCTTGCTTGCTCTCCCGTCATGAAGTTACCTGCGCCTGAAACCCGAATAAGCTTTATAGCGAAGGTGTCTTTTGCCAGAAACTCTACATAAACCTCAAATTTACGCTACCGGATCACTGCATTGTTTTCCACGCACAGGTAGCAACAAAAAGGAGGCAGTGAAAGCCTGTTTCACTGACCGTTTTCGAGCCTATCATCAAGAAACTAAAGGCACTTATTGCCGCCTTATCATCAGAAAATATGTTAATCGCCTGAAGAGTTTGTATTTGCAAGTATCTGGTCCGCTGCTTCCTTTTTGTGCCTTCCTATGCTTGGAAAACACAGGTTTGAGGTTTATGCAGAGCACCTTCGCGAACCTTTTCATGATTCCATATGCTACAACTCGTCCAGTTCTCCCATCACGGCATATGGGAGGTTAAAGATGCACTCGAACCCAGCGCCGGTGTGCAGTGATCGATTCGGGCTGGAATGAACTCGATGCCTCTAACGCTTACGAAAGGCTCACAGCTGGAGGTGAACTTAAAGCCCTCACCCCATTAGCCTATCTGCCGCGCTTAGCTGCAGCTTTGTCTCCTGTCATATCCAATGGCACAACGTTTAGCAATGAGTTAAATGCGAGAGTAGGAGCGCAGTGCGCTACACCACCACCCTCGAAGAGACGACCAAACGCTTGCTAATTGCCTTTCTGCAACAATATAGTGATACCAGGGGGTTCTTTATCTTTTCCTCAATTCTCGCTTGATCTCAGAGGATCAAGCCCAGACGCTTCACTCTGCCCTGAGCGTTAGCAGAAGCCGCACACTGAAAGGGCGTGCTTTTTGTTTCCTTGATAAAAGAACAATCTAAGCCATGTTTTTATGTTTACAACTACTCATGTCACAGGTAGCACCGCCAAGTGCTCCGCCATGTCCATGTAGTAGTAGTTCTTTTCATTTATTCATGATAAGTATTAGTAGAGAAATGAGTTGCTCTATATCAAAATTGTGCTTAGCGATTTCAATGCTAAGGTGGACAAGGAAGCGAATTTTGGCGCCACTGTCGGAAAATTCAACCTGCACGACGAAATATCCGATAACGGACTGACGGCCAAGTTATTTGCCACTCGACTCTCGATGAACACGAGCGACCAGTCCATGATTACGGAGTCGATGCCCCACCACCTGACCATGACGTGGTAAACAAAATTGCTGGAGCTGACGTTTATTTAACAACCCGCATTAACACCAATAATAATAGTTGCGTTCCAGATGCCTCACGATTTGCAGGATTTATAGGATTTGCAGGAAAAGCTGTTTTCTTCCTTAATAAACCTTATGGAAGGCACCTGGAACAGCTTCCTGTAAAAACCTGCAAATCGTGAAGCACCTGGAACGCAACTAATGTTATACTAGGTTTATATATAAGTAGATTATCCTCATTTTCGAGCTTAACTCACTAATCTGTAACTATAAAAAAAGACTAGCCATACAAAATTGTACTGATTTTATTCATTTCTTTAATCAGTACGCTAATTCCTGATTTCAAAATTTGTACTGATTTGTGCTGATTTTTCTATTCAAACAAAATACTTTAGTATTTTCTTAAGGTTTTTACATAACGGTGGAACTTCCTTAAACTATACTGTGAAAAATAAGAAGAAAATAATTTACCCCCTTATTCTAGAACCCGAATTTTCGTAATTCGTAATTCGTAGCTCAGCTACGAAAAACGAAAAATCCACATGCTGCAACCCTTGCGGAAACATGTGCAGCATTGCCAGCTATCAGTTGTTTTTCGAAGATAGCTGAATGAAGGAAAACAAAGTGGAAAGGAATTAAAAAACATTCATGAAGAGCTTCATATTTCGAAGGAAACGTTGGATTCTATTGCATTTGCAATTATAGCAGCGGAGTAAGAGCGCGCTATGGGAATGATTTGACAAAGATATGCGGAGCTGTCGGGCATAGTAACCATGGGCGCGTCTATGTCAGCTTCTGGTTGAACGGCGTAGCCGGAGTGATATTCACAAGAAATGTTGTATACTTTTGACATGCGGAAGCCCCTCTTCTCCGGCAACGCAGAAAGGAGAATTCTACATAGTTAGGGTTATAATCCCTAAGCGCGGCCGAAGGCAGAAGCAATTGCAACAGGGGGTGGACCTAACAAAGTGCATGTTTTCAATGGCTTGGAAGAAGCTGTTATTGCATTAACTGGATTGAGAACCAGTTCTTCAGGCATAGGAGTAGTTCTGGCTTGTGGTTTAACAATTCAACCATAAGCTGACATAGATGCAGCTCCGCATACCTTTATGAATCCATTGCCATAGTGCCCGCTTACTCTGCTGCTATAATTGCAAATACATCAGAATCCATAATTTTCCTCAAAGTATGCAAAATTAACCAATTTTACAATAAACAAGTACATGATTAGTGTTTTTTTTTTTAATTCCTTCCCACTTTGTTTTCCTTCATTCAACTATCTTCGAAAAACAACTGGTAGCTGGCAATAGGTGCGTTCGACAAGTCAAAAATTTGTAATAATTTTTCCAAATTTTTACTGGATGGCGTTCGATAACGACAAAAAATTATCCAACACACAAAAATTGAGAGAGCAAGCGTTCATTTTGTACTGGCAAAATTTTAGTCAGCAAAAATTATCCAACACGAAAACTTATGATCACAAAACATATGGTTGCAATTTTTTGTAAACAAACAAAATTGCATTTTCCGAGTTTTGGTACGAGTATTTATATGCTTTTTGGCTGCCTGCTATGTGACTTTATGATAGCGCCAACTAGTTTTTACTTCTAGAAATGTTCCTGGCGAACATTGAACGTTCACTTTCCTTTTTTCTGCTATGGAGGCAACATGAATTTCCGTTTGTTTACAAATAAAACATAAACAAAGTCAGCTGGTGTGTCTTCTTCTTCCGGTTTTTGCAAGTAATGGCTAATTTCCTGTTCGTTAACTTTTTTGCTTTTTCATCTCTTTGGGAGAGAATTTTCGCTTACTCTGTTGATTTTGATTGTTGGCTGGTGTTGGCTAATTTTGTTATCGAACGCAACTAATGCTGCACATGTTTCCGCACGGGTTGCAGCATGTGGATTTTTCGTTTTTCGTAGCGTAGCTACGAATTACGAATCACGAAAATTCGGGTTCTAGAATAAGGGGGTCAACTTACTGACTTTTTGTAAAAGTGTTTTGCATACAAGACATAGAGTTAGATACTCATTATAGCGAATTCTTAGTCTTTCACAGTTTTTGCGTAGTTGAAAAGTTATTTAAGCCATGAGGAAATATAGATGAATTCCTTAAAAAAAGGTACTTTTTCACAGTATGAGAGGATCTTAAGAATAAAGTTTGTTTCCTGGCGCAGAGAGAAACCTTCTTCTAATTAAAATTTTTGAACTTCAAATTCAAAGTAATTTTAAAA